CAGACAGGTAATTGCCCGTTTCCTTCAGTTTCTGCAGGACCTACCTTGTTGGAGAGTCAATTACCCTAGCTGACATTACGCTATTTACCTCATTGTACCTCCTATTTACGCATGTCTTGGATGCCTCGTATCGTACTCAATACCATCATGTGGAAAGATGGTATTTGACAATTGCCAACCAACCTGAAGTAGCATCTGTTACTGGTCCCCTGACTCTTTGCGAGGCGCCGGTGCATTTCGATACAGCAAAGTTTTCCGAGCTTCATGGAAAACAGGTACGATTTTTTAAAATGTATTTTTGTAGGATAAGTGTGAAAAACTCAAGGCAAAAGATAAACCCAAAGCTTCCTCTCAAAAGTCAAAAAATGAACCAAAGTCTGTTCATGAGGATCACGCAAAGGCTGACATTGACGACTCCGATAAAAACTATCAGGAACCAAAAGAGAATCCTCTTAACGTCTTGCCTCCTGGTTCATTGGTCCTTGACGAATTCAAAAGAACGTACTCTAATAATGACGTTGAGTCAGTTGGATTGCCTTACCTATGGCAACACTTTGATCCTGATCACTACTCTTTCTGGTTCTGTAACTATAACTACCCTGAGGACTTGCGCTTAGTTTTCATGTCATCTAACTTGATTGGGGGATTCTTCCAGCGATTAGAGAAGTAAGGCTTCATTTCTTGTTATTTTAGAATGTCTAAGTTTGCCTTCGCTGTCATGTCTGTAATCGGCCTAGACAATGAAAATGTAATCCAGGGTGTCTGGCTTTGGCGTGGCACAGGCTTGATTTTTGATTTGGATCCCGACATTCAAACCGACTACGAGTCATTTGCGTGGCGCAAATTGAATCATGAATCTGAAGACGATCGACAGCTGATTAGCACCTTTTTCACTCGCCAAGCCGTGATAAATGGAAAGCCAAATGCGGCAACTAAAGTGTTTAAATAGAACTTAATCTGGCAGATCCATATTTTTGTTGATTAAAACTGCTGTCTGGTTCACTCTTGATTATCCTTTTCCCAGGGTGTTTTTTTTCAATCGTGTCTGTTTATAATCCAAATTGCTATGGCTACCTTAGCCTTTATATATTATGACTTGGATTCGCTAGGGGCGCCATATTCAACTGTCGACTCTGTATTCCCAATTTTATTTTTGCCTTTTTTGCGCCACATGATTAAGTAAGCTATTCGTTCGCTCGCCCCATTGAATTACCCGCATGGTTGTTTGGATACCTTGGATCATAAAGTGGCTATCCGTCTTTTTGCTATCACAAGTTTCATTGCTTGCTGAATGCTCCTGTTCTCGCTTTCTAGATTCTTATCCCGTAATTCAATCTACACAAATGTACTCATTTCTAGTACTATACTTGAAGCGACCAGTTTCTGTTGATTTGCAAACTCATTCCTTACCATAGTGCAAGGGGTTTTCTAGCTAATTT